ACATCATGTTGGAATTAAAAAAAATAGTTTCTAAAAGGCTCATAATCTCATTTCTTATGGCAATCTTTGTTCAAGGCTCAACTTACTCTTGAATTTTATTTTTTTAAGGCCCAATCTGCCTTATAGCCCAGTATACTAGAATTTGTATGCAACCAAAGCCCAAACTCATCTACACCTATTTTTCCTATGATATATTCAGTTTCTTTTTTCAAAAAAAAAAGTGAGAGAATGTGGATAAGAAAACTAAATTTATTTCTTTTTGCCATGATATCTACGTTTAAAAAAAATAAACAAATTTGAAATCTCAACAACAAAATCCATCATATCCTACAAAATCTCTAACCACCAAGCCTATCCTCAACAAACATATATCCTTTAAAACCTCTTTCTTTTCTTTACCAACTGAAAACCTCACTAATATTAAAAAAAAAGAGAGAGAAGAAAAGAGGGGCAAGGACTACATCTTAGGAGGCGAGTGAAGGATGTTTGCTTGGAGCATTTTCGACACAAATCGGCAAGCATATTTTCTTTTTTTTTCTTTCTCTTTTCTTTTCAAAAAGGTTTCATCTTCATAAATCCTTTCATAGCTTGTGAAAATATAGATGTTTGGTAGATAATGCTAGCATGTTATACTTCTAGTTGATTAGAATCTTTATATGTTGATGATGGTTAAGTATATGTTTAATTCATGAGACTATTTTGGTTATAGCATGAGAATTATTTTTTTCCCAACAACAAATTTAAATTTCTCAAACTTAAAATTTGTTCTTTATAATATTTAGGGAATTTCTCTTATTGTTTAGTTTTCTCCATGTGTATTAATTCATGTAAATATGACTTGTTGTATGACATCTTAGTTATACTTTCCTTAGGTGTCCATACATGGTTAAAATGCTTGTAATTATGTTATGCTTTTTTGTTGAATTTCCTTTTACGGGTAATAAACTTATTATTATTATTATTTTCGGCCACAACAGAGTATTTAAGTGTTACAAATCCTTTTACTCATATTTTTATTCGGTAGTATCATAGTTAGTTGAGACTATATGTAAACTATTATTGCAGCAATCCTAAAACCCACTATTAAACCAGACCCGTTTGGGTCCAAAATACACCAATACCCGACCCGTTTAGATTTATAACCCCTCGAACCTGACCCAGTTCAAACCCATTATCAAATTCTAGACCCTTTTGGATCCATATCCCCAAATTACAGATCCGTTATCCAATTTCCAGACTCATTTGGATCCCTATCCCCAAATTACTGACCCGTTATCTAATTTCCAGACCCATTTGGATCTATAACTCCAAATTTCTGACCCGTTTGACCCAGTTAGGACCTAATATCATATTTCAGACCTGTTTGATTTGATTTCTCACTAAAATCAGTTTTGCAGATTTCTATGTAGTCAAATTTAAAACTGTTAGGCCCGCTTGACACTAAACAATTATGCTAATTAATTATTTTCTGTTTATTAAGATGAATGATAATATTGTTTGCTCTTAATGCTTATTGTATCACCTGATGTTATGTTTGATCACCAAGTGACATTTGATAGGGTTGATTGTGCATGAAGACGACTCCTGTTAAAAATATGATTTATAAGCATGCTTTCATAGCATGGCTATGCCCTCTATATCGATATCCCGACATGAGGTATTTTCTTAGCTATTACTATTATAGCATCGACTAGACGATGCACCCATCTTGATTGGACATGTTCTGGGTCACGATTATTTTTCATAGTTTTACGGAAGTCGTTCCACGTTAACTCTGTGGTTAGTGCACAACATTTCATGCACAGTCATTTAAATTAAACCGACAAATATGGGGTTTATAAAGAGGAATTGGATGGGGAATATATAAGGTATATAAACGGGCTCATGCGCATTCCTGATATCTTGAGTTATATATACAAGGGCTAAGAGTCAATACCTGACTTGAAGCCGTGTTCCGGGACGTGTTACGGGAAGACCGATTTATATACATGATATTATTCTCCTCTAATTCAAATAACATGTAAAATAAGAATAATGTGCTTATATGCTTTGTGATAGATTTGGTATGCACGACATGTCCTGGATGAGGTGCTGGTGATGTAATTTTTATTGTATGTTTATAGGATTTTGGGAGTTGATATTTAGCGATTTACAATTTTAAGATATATGGTATATACGAGGGTTTCCTTGTTTGAATTATTCCCTCGATATACTCATCTCGTGTTGTGGATTTCTAAATCTTAACTCCTTTTAGTATAGGGTATAAATATGTGCTTGTGGTAGACCTTGTTTGATATCTACAAATAGCAATTTCCTTTATCATCTGTAATTGAATTTCCATCTTATCTTTATACCTGCCACATGCACTTACACTCGCACAATTTCTTCATTTTACATACTTGCTGGGAGTTTTCTGACTCCCATGTGGTTTGTGTGCCCCAGACTTGGGAATTGTTCTTTCTTAGCAGGACTGAGTGTACCTTGAGAGTTAGATCCAGCAACAGTGATCACCTTTTGTCCTATCATTCTCTCAGCTTCAGTGTATTTAGACTTTTTCCTGTAATCACATGTGGTTCTCCATACTAGGATGTATTTTCCTCTTTCCTACTTTGGATAGTTGCATACATGTAAGCGAAGTCTGTCCTTTTTAACGATTTCTTTATTTGTCTATTTTTCTTTGTTATCTTAGTTACATGCTCTATGTAGTAGTTTTTTTGGGCAATATATCTATATACAGGATGATCCAGAGGCGTGAATGTGACCGTATGGTTGCATTGCCGACCGAGTCACGCTCCAAATGATCAAAATTGGAACCGGGGCGTGACAGATGACAAGGGCACAATGTGTGACACAGCCATTAGCATGACCTAATCAGCAAAAACGCATGTGCAAAAGACGAGCATTAGGACTGTATAGCTATTGCTCAAGGCATGATCAGTAATCCATGATCCATCATTCGAAGCATCAAGATGATCGATAACATTATTTTTCTCCTAATTATTAACAATAAATTCATAAACTCAAATGACAAACTAGGAACCTATGCGTACAATCAGCCCTCAAGTTTAACAATCATCATGTCTGCAAAATATAACAATTAAACCATCCAATATCAAGAGCTATTTGATTAAATTTACACACATAACCTCTGTGTTACACCAGCCTAAACAAATTAACTGCGTGCTAAAAAACATAGACGCAGTAATTTGTGTGTTACAAAAAAGGGGGGAAACACTTTAGCATCACATAGACACAATACGTTGTTCATCATGAACACATTTCACACAAATCAATCACACAAAAAACAAAATGCTTGCAAAATACTTTAATAAACTTATCCATCTCCCGTCAACTATCCTCTTGTCGACATACCCCAAACAATCTCAGCTACTCTTCCTTCACTCGTAGTTGGGTTTAAAGGTCTCAGATACTCTCGTGTCACATACTCCTCAGATGTTGTTGGGTATGACATAGCCCCCCATAAACAATCTCAGCTACTTATCGTTGCCATCAAACACCACTGACATTGCTTTGAGCCGCATGTTTATTGCGGTCGGTAGCACTTGCTTTGCCCTACAAGTAACGAGAAAAAGAAAAGACAATCGTGCACTAGTCACAGAGGCAATACAAACACTCAGTAAATTAAAAAAACTTACTCCTTCCTTGCCATTCCTTGAATTATGTTCAAGTTTCTTGCACTTCCTGCGCCTTACAGTCCATCACCTTTTCTTTAACTTTGTAGCATTAATATCTTCGGGATCCTTTCTCTTATTCTTGTTCACTAAAACTTTACATTTCTCCATAAGCAGTAATGGCATCAACGGTTGTAATCCTAACAAAGTCTACCGTCCCTTGCCTCTAGTTGGTTGCAGTACAGGGGTATGTCAAGAAAAAAGATTATCAAGGTTGAAAACTTCAAATTTCAGGCTATATGAATTCAGTAAAAGTATGAAAAAAAGTTGGCAGGTTTAAGTGACTTCAGAGTTCAGGCTACAATTAAAAAGTATGCATAATTGAAAGAAATAGCAAGGTAAAAAAACAAAGAGTTCAGAGCATAATTCAAACTAGTTGAAACACAAACTGTGAACAAAAATAAGGATAACGCATACATCCGCTCATACACACGGCAACACACACCCACACAAAGAAAGCAAACCCCTTTATTTTTGAACTCAACAGACCAACTACGACCAATTGGAAAATTAACTAATGCAATTAGGTAATGTACATAATTACTGGGAAACAAAGCTCGCGCTACTGTAGATTTAGCATTGGATGTACAAAGGCCTGCAAGAATAAATGAACAAGCAAAGATGTGCATGTGTATGTCTGTGATGCAGTATATACATTACTGGGGCATGCGATATATATGTTAATAAATTAGGAATCTAAGATATGGCATGCGTGTCCACGAAGCAGTATAGTATACGAACTACTGGCATGTTAATAAATAAACAAGCAAAAGTGTGTATATGCGTGCGCGCGTTTGCGTGCATGCTGATATCGGCAAGGGAGAAGTGACACTAGTAGAAAACATGGCATTGGCGACGGGGAAATCCGTCACCAATGCTCCAAAATCCGTCACCAATACACATTGGCGACGGGGACGGATCCGTCGCCAATAAATCCGTCGCCAATAAGTATTGGCGACGGGGTCCCCCGTCGCCAATGCTTATTAGCGACGAACAACTATTGGCGACGGATTTCTTTGGCGACTGATGGTTTCCGTCGCCAATGTGCATTGGCGACGGGAAAATCCGTCGCCAATGTTTAAACATTGGCCAAAGTTTAAAACATTGGCGACGGGGTTTTTCCTGTCGCCAATGTTTTAAACATTAGCGACGGATCACCCCGTCGCCAATGTGCATTGGCGACGATGAAATCCGTCGCCAATGTATATATTTACGTAAAAAAATAAATTTTCTGGTAGCCTCTCATACAAGAATACACATATAACCTGTATCGACATCAATCCAATGATAATATTTAACAATATATCATAAAATCAACCATGATATACATGCACATTCCAAATGAATACTCATCCAATTTCATCTGTCAATCCACAATATCGAACAATACTCATCATATAATCACAATACATTTCGCATGCTCAAATAATATTCATTCACTACGCAATAAAATCACAAATACATTACATATAGGTAGAATTCAAAAGTCATAATATATCTTCACACGATTGAAAACTACATAAATATAAGAACAAGTCCCACTCACTCCCCGTCATCGTCGTTGTCGGCATCCTTGATATCAGCGCCGTCTGCATTAGAACGTCGTATCGTATTGTTGCTCCCTTCGGGAGTACCTCCTCTAGCCTAAAAAGATTATCACTCCACATGAGATATATATATACCAAAAATATCATAATAAATATATATATATGTCACGTCGTATATACCTCTCCACCACCATGAACTTCATGCTCGTCAAACGCCAACTTAAAGATATCTATGAATATCAACTCGGGAAGAATCTCATTCAACAACGGACAATCACTGAGACGCTGCACAACAATAATAAATAACCTATCCACGAAGATAAATTCAACAGAGAATTCAAGAAACATTTAACCAAGAGATAAATGCACCAAACAAATTCTTGAGTAACACGCCATCGGATAATTTATTTCATTTCATTTTATCCCATTTCTTGCTGTTTTTCTTAAGAATTCTACAAGTAAGAAGAATTGCTATACAATTAAGAAGAAAACCCAAAACCAAAAGAAAGTACCAGTTTTCCAGTTTGCTGCTAGTTATTGATAGCTTCTTGAATTGCTATTTGTTGGCTCAGTTTCTTTATAAATGTAAAGAGGGAAATATTAATTAAATGTAAACCTTGTGTCTCATGTTTTATTAATTTTGTAACATAGTATTCCTCTCACAATTATGGCATGACAACAAGTTGAACCAACTAGGACCTCGGTATGATATCAGCCACCAATTCAAAAAGTCAGGTAGCAGGTGGTATAGTAATCGATAAATTTATTTATTTCATTCATTTGAAATCTATATACCTCCAGAATCAGCATGTTGTTGGAGCTTCTTCAATTCTTCAATTGTTTCTGATACTGATTTATTTGCATCAAAGCATGAAACAATGTGAGGTAACAGAAAATTTAGTTGAGCCTATGATTCAGGCTCCTTCTTGTATTGTGCCAGAAGTGCTATGACATCCTTGTAGCTATAACATGGTTTACCAAAAAAAGATCCAAACAGCCCCTTTAAAATTAGAGATGGGTTGTGATACATACACAGACACTGAACAAAGTTTTTGTGCAGGAGAAAATAATGGATTTTAGATCATAAATTGAACCCGATGGGATTGTTTGGCAACTCATCCCCTAACTTGGATATGAGTCTAGATTATGCATTGACATCAACACAGTGTCTTGTTATCGAAAAGTAAATATGTGAGATAAATACTAACATGCAAAATTCAGTAACTAGTAAGCTTGGGTTTCACATGCTGCAAATCTATTTTAACTAGGATTACCTGCATTGACATCAACACACTGTCTTGTTACCGAAAGTAAATATGTGGATTTTGGTTTCCTTCTATCCTGATTTCGGATTGAAGGGTTTGGTTCTTTCCATTTTCTTGGTGTGTGTGGATTTTGGTTTCCTTCTATCCTGATTTCGGATTGAAGGGTTTGGTTCTTTCCATTTTCTTGGTGTGATGGTGTGCAAACCTGTATTGAGATATATTTCGGATTGAAGGGTTTGGTTCTTTCCATTTTCTTGGTGTGATGGTGTGCAAACCTGTATTGAGATATAGTAAATAGTTTCATAAGGTTGATGACTTTGTTATTGGTAATAATGGACACAATCATATAATGCATGAGTATATTTCTTTTATCAGCCATATAGTTTTAGTTTCACAAGGATGACGTTGTTATTTGGTAACAAGGTTGATGACTTTGTTACAGAATAATGATCATACAGCAATGGAGTACGTTCATCTGTTTGTGTTGATATTGTTCATGACTTTTAATCAGTATGCCCTCATTCTTGGATAGGCACTTTGTTATCACTGTTCTATAATTTATTCGATATAGATGCAGTTTGTGAGTGTAACTTGTTTCAACTATCCATGAGATAATGTTTAATCCTCAAATTAATTTAAGTTACCGCAAAAAACTCTTTGTTGTTAACTAACCAGAAAGGAGCAAAGAATAATGCTATCACAAGCATAGCATATCAAACGAATACTACAGTAGGTTATGCTACTAATCAGAACACAATAATTAAGTCACAATGATAGTTTT